TGTATTTCTTCCAGTCACTAGGGGTAATTAAGTTAAAACACTCTATTATTAAGTTTTCCATTTCCTTTCCTGGTATTCCAATGTTTCTGCTTGCAATTTTTCTTTTTGCTTGACTCCAAACCATCTCTATTGGGTTTAAGTCACAATGATACGGTGGCAGCAATAAAAGTTCATGATTATGTTCTTTTAAAATCTCTTCAGCTTCATATACAGGCAATGTTTTCTTATCATTAACCAAACACATTAACTCTGCCTTTGTCTGATATTCCTCAAAATGTATTCCATTATTTACAAGCCATTTACGGATATCTGCTTTGGTATTAGACATTATAGGCGGTTTATTGATTTGTTTTATATGGTAGCTGGCATTATCCATAACAATTACACTGGGCTTACTTAAATTTGGTATTAATTTTTCTCTGACCCATTTCATAAAGTTCGATGAGTTCATATCATCATGATAATCAGCAGATTTGGATTTACTACTGAACACTAATAATGCACCAGGCACAAAACCTTCCTCAGATCCAGCATGCACAACAATATGCCGTTTTCCAGAGGATATCTTTGTAGTGACACCAGTTGTTGAAGGTCCTTGCCAAGACTTTTTAACTTTATAATTCTGATGTACATAAGTTTCATCAAGGTACACAATTTGCTTTCCTTCGTTTCGTTTTATATTTATTTCTCTCAAATACTTGTGCCTCCATGCAGAAATCTGGTATTTTTCTATAAGCATAGAACATTCATTTTCATTGCTTTTAAAAGAAAATCCATTCTTAAGCATAATTTTTCGTAAAGTCTCACGGCTACCACTGAATCCTATTGCATCTTTTAATTCATTGTGAAGGCTTCTTAATGTTGGAACAATTTTTTTCACACAGTAAAATTCATTTACTTTATTCCGAATTGCACTTAAATCAAAATTATCTAAAGCAGACACTGTTGGTTGATGAGGTCGTTTTTTCCCAGGAGTGTCCCATTTTCCTTTATTAATTAATGCTTCATTTTTTATCCTTCTTAGTGTCCTTATACTTACATCTATAAAAGATTAAACACTTTGAAACAAAGATATGTTAAATGTATTTAAAAGCAAATAATGATAGACACATACATCAAAATAATTTAAATACCTATTCAACTATGAATGCAATTTATGTTTAATTTAGTTAAGTTTATGTGCATATTTAGCATGTATAACAATTACATGGTTTGATTAGTTTCATGAATTCTGTGAATTTCCTTGTTAAACAAAACATTCTTATGACATCATTGGATGTCAACAATAAAAACCAATACATCATAAAAAACCTATGTAAATATTATAGGAATACTATCAATCTATCTTAAATCAAAACAAGAAAAGAGACCTGTCATTGAAGAAATTTTTTGTAAGTACTGCGTTTCCGAATTCAGCATTTCTTGTTTTTCTAAAGTTTTTATTGCATTTATCTCCTCCATTATTGGTTGAATATCACCATCACAGTTATCTGAAATAGAGCAATATTTTATAAAAAATATCTGTTTAGTTAATTACAGAAAATTAAAACGAAAGTATCAAAATTATAATACAAAACTAACCTAAAAAAGATACAACTTTATCTAATCGTTGTAATTTCTCCATGAAATTTTTATTTAATTCAGTTTTCACTTCAGTAAACTTGTCAATCATGATGGAAAGAAGTTTCCTCGATGAACTTTTTATCGGCTTCGACATAATTTTTAACCAAAAACACAAGTTCAAATTCGCAAAAACAACAAAATTCAATATTCTTGAATTGTCTAACGTAGTGTCAAACTGACAGTTCTATGTTGTTGCCATATGAAAACGGAAAAATAGGTGGTGTCACGTTTCGCTTGCCAAACTCTATACCTGTATTAGGCTTACTTACTTAGGCTGTTTAAACTGTTCTTATTTTGATTTTGAACTTTTTAAAATCTTATTTGTTTATCTGTCTAGTTGTATGCGCAATCTATTATTTTTGTTGTTTTTCCATCCAATGCTGTTTGTTTGTCTTTAGTACATAGTTATGAATGTTATGAATGAAATACCTATATATATGTTCATGTCACATTCTTGTTGTGCAATAAAGACTTTACTTACTTACGTAAACCGAATGCGGTAACTTCTAATCTTAAAAAGAGGAAATTTTTTATTTTTTAATGCATCGAATTGTTTCCGAAACCATTAAACAGATTTTAAAAAATCTTTCACCTACAGTAAGCAACGACATACTCGGGTGACACAGATTATAATTTACGCGTCTAGTTAACAGTTAATAATATAGGTACGCTTGTGGGGTACAGGCAGGTTGAAGGCATAACCGATTGCCGATGATCGAAACTACGAGTACTTTACATACATACATTTGATACTGTAAAGACCGAGCTCTTGAAGAGCTCGACCGCATTTTTCTGTCAAAGGAAGTTTCAGACTCAAACGGTACTACATATGTGTTACGATCAGCAATTAGACGTGCTAAATTATCTTCAGGAGTTTTCTGAGACCAAAAGCTTGCTGTATGAGTTCTCTGAGAGCTCAAGATATTTTCCCTAACAATGAATGCTCCAGATCAACTTGATAGTGCATGAGCGTCAGTATCCAAAATATTGAAATCTTATTTTTTTATTTATATTTATATAAATTATAATTTAACAGACAATATCAATAGTGCAACGCACGGCAGTGTTGTTAAGCAATTTTCGCATGGGTTGTTCACGTTATGGGTGAACAAAAAAATATTAAATTAAATCCTGAGCCCCACTGCATGGAGATGTAAAAGAACTGACGATGATAAACTATATGTTGGAGACTAAAATTTTATAAAGCAATTTTGGCGAACACAGTACTTCAATATTATATATATAACTTTTTTATTTATGGACCGATTGAAATAAAACTTACACTAAATGTTAACGGAAGGTTACCACAATACAGTAGGCCATTTAAATCGGTTCAGCCGTTTCTAAGATTAGCGTGCACAAACGCACAGACAAACCGACAAACAGACAAAAAGATTAAAAATCTTTGTTTTGTGTTCTGTTACATTTATAAACGCTTTTCTTAACAGTTTTTTCATATATCCTTATTCAATGTACAGACATCGATCGGTTACGTTTTTATTATAGTATAGATTAGACTATGCATAATTTTATCAAAAATTTTTGCAAAAATTTAAATAAGAGTAATAGGTCGGTATTTACTTATATAATATTGGTCACCTTTCTTATGTAAAGGTTTTTCTACTAACAGTTTCAGTCTCTTAGGAAATACTCTATCTGTTATTGTTAAGTTTAATATGTGCTTTGATACTTTTTGCTACTTTACTACTAGACATATATGATCTCCAGTTCCCTTAATTATCTCAGTTGTTATCACGTCGAATCCTACAGACTTTGTATTGTTTAAAGAATGTATGACTTCTTAAACTTCATTTTCACTCACTGGTTTGTGTAAGATGCCATAGTTTATCGATTGTATGTTATTGTGATTATTGTTCATATTGGACAGAGACGATGATAAAGTATTTTTATTTGAAGTGGATCTGAAGTATTTATTAATTGTTTTGGCTATATTCAGTGGTATTATGTAATTGTTTGATTATTATATTTAATTGAATCGGTGTTACGTAATGAAACAATGTTATCAATTTTGTCCTTTATAATATGCCGTGTAGTTTTGCATTTATTTTTACAGTTCACGATAAATTTGTGATAAAAATTTTGTTTACAATTAATAATCCACTGTCTCAATATAAAGCTGTATTAATAATTTTTTCAGCCGTTTTTAACTTATTACATTGAAATATTAAATTGCGTTTAAAATGCGACGATTTCTTTAAACCCTTCTTTATACATCGACGCGCGGCATGTTGATTATTTATTTTCTTTGTTTTGGTTGGAAAATACAAATTATAGAAAAGACAGTATCATGAAGCCCGTCAAATGCTCTTTTAATCTCTTGCTCAGACAAAATATCCGATCAGATGAGAGCGTTAAGACATTCACGAATTTTATAATATTTTCACTAGAATAGTTTCTAATAGTGGTAAACCAGTACGTAATATTTTTTTGTTTGTTTATTACTGGAATTGTAAAGGTTTGACTTGTATTATGATCAGAAATATATGTTTTATGAGTAAAGCCCTTTGAATCTGTCAGATACTAATAATATAGTCGATACAGCTATTTTGCTTAGTAGGTTCGGATATATATGAGGTTATATGAAAGTGCAGTTAATGAAAGAACGCCGTCCAAATAGTCGTTTGTTTGTATGTATGGGAATTGTCCAAACGACGCGAAGGCGAACGAATGTGTGACGCGTGCAGCAATTAACGCTGAATCTCATTTGTTGTCCGTTTGTTTGCTCAGTCTAGACAAGGATTACCAGCCTTACAATAACATAATATAGTATTATACTATATTTAGGTTCTATGTACTATATACTGTTGGAGAAATTTATAGTGCGCAAAAATACTATATTTTAAACACCGAAATATAACAAATAAGTTCTTCATTTATGAAGGCACCAAATATTTTAACCATTGTTAAATGCGATATCGACTGCTTAAATATGTTTCTTTCACTGGTTTTTCTTAAGCCAAAAAAAGAAATGAATGCTTCAAAAGTGGTTACAATGAGCTATTTTTTAAATAAAAGATACTTTCTTATTTCAAAGGGTTTCTGAATGAAGAGTTTAAAGTTGAGAACCTTTCAAAATGTAGGTACTTAAAATTATTTTCGATAATAAAATCCCTATAATGTACTCTATTTTATTTATACTAATAGTTATTTTTTAATAATAATAATATTTAATTAAGTAAACTTGTTCAGGTGTCATAATAATATACGGATTTATTTAAATCTTATGACACACATTCATTATATATTTTACTACTCTAAGAATAGTCATATTCATAATAATATGTCTCATCAGTAAAACTGTCATGTCGCCATATTTGTCTACATCTTGTGCCATTTAATATGGAACCGGGTATACGATCAAAAATTCTTCAGTGACTTAATTTATCTTCAGGACAGCGCCACTTTTTTTTGACGCTGAGAAATGCGTTACGCATACCCGCTACACCCAGCGCGGGCTTCACGGGTTATATGGGACTCCTCCTGCGGCCCCACCCCCGAAGAGGCTAGATAAGAAGCGGGGGTTTACCCACTAAAACTTAGCGATGTCCCTGGCATGGAAGGCGATGCACGGGGTCGGCCCGGATGCCATACACCGCACAAGACAGCGCCGCTTGACCATCTCACGTGGCGGTACATAGGTGCCACGTGGGATGGTCAAGTATGGACTGGACGGTTGAATAAACCTATAACGGGCCATATTCCGAGTTAATGTTAAGCAAAAGTAAAAAGGTTTGTCAGAATCTAAAAAAACAATATATTTTACAGACAATAACAATGGAGGAGTTGGAGAAAGTTATTAAGACTGTATTCCCTTTGAAGAGCGAAGTAGATATCAAGAATCTGACGGATGTGGTACGCAAGCAGCTCAAGTTGAAAAGCAATCAAACCGAAGTTAATTTAGATAAACTTTTCCTAGAGGTATGTGTGCGTTTATTTATGATCGTTCTCTTAATCGATTATATTCTCTTGGATTGGAAACAAAACTATAGATCACGTCAGATACTCATCGTATGGTAGTCAAATGTTGATTGAGTTCAGAACCTCAAACTTAATATCTTTGTATAAGCCAACGACTAATAACAAATAACTATATAATAAATCTTTCAATATATTATAATGCTAGTTACAGTAATTAGTTTTCTTGACCATCTTATAGCATAACGTAGGATTTGAAACGAACTGATATTCGAGACAATTAATTTAAAAGAAGAAATAATGATAATATAGTGTAATTTTGTATTCAGAACGAAGAGGGGTTCGATCGTGTGGATTTAGCCCGTGAACTGTTTCGTCAACGTCAGTTGGCTCAAGATAAGTATCTGCGTGAAGTTTTAGGTGAGCTGGGCGGCCGCCACGCTCGCAACAATACAGTGTCTGTACAGGCACTGAAGCGCGCCTTCGCTATAGTCGACCCCGCCATAGGCTAGTATAATGTTCTATTATCCCAGAAACAAAGTATACGCCTACGTGAGACGATATGATGTGGTTCTACCGCGTAACTTCCTTGACACAAACTTCAAGTTTATTTTCTGTGAATGACTATGAATGAAGACATTTTTTATTGGTCATACCATAACTTGGAGTATTAAACGAATAAGAGTAGCAATCGGCACTTTTTCAAAACAAAATTGTCTGTCATTTAAGAAGGGGGCGAGGTAATGCACACTAACTATAATGCTAACACTAATGCCTTAGTGAAACATATCGCTATGAACGACAAAATTTTAACACACTCATAAACTACACGCACACAATCATATCCACACAATGGAACTTCTCATAGAGAATAGAAGAGTGGAAATGTTGACCTATAGCAATTTTTGGTTATACAAATATCATGCAATCGGAAGTTGACATCTAAAACAACATATTGTCTCTTTTCGACTAATGAGCTTTTTACTGAGTTTTTCCGTGATTAAAATAGTTTTATTATTCTAATCACGCCGAAGACACTTAAGAGTGATGAAAGAGAGTTAGTGTTAAAAGTAAAAACAATTTGTGAGCGGGAGAATCGTAATAAAGGACCAATAATCCCTTTGGTACATGTTTTTATGTATCTCGTTATTTTGTGTGCATTATTGAAATGTATGTAAGCTAGTGGTAATATTAGAATATGAATAGAATGTAAATATAAAGAGATAGTTAATTATTGCCTTGTAATTTAATAAATGTTTTATAAATAAGTTATAATAATACCGAATCTACAGAACCCTTCCCTTCATAATGAATTATTATACGTTTATTAATATCTTCAGTGCAGGGAGTAATACTCACTATATAATAGGTATAGTGAGTATAACTCCCTGCACTGAAGATATTAATACCCATTATAGTAATACATTTGGTCTTTGTTTAAGGTAGTTTTAAAAAAACTGTGTCGAAATTTTCCAAAGAAGGCGAAGTTGCTGCTGGTGGAACTTTGTGCATTCCGGCACAAAATTCACGAATTTTATGTTGTGAAGTTTAGTAAGAGGTGGTAACTCTTTACCACCTCTTACTAAACTGCTTCGCTATGTCGAGTACTAAAACAGAAATGCAAGAGTGGATTATAAACAGAGGCTTTACATATTTACCGGCTATGGTGAAAGCTCAATTATTTGAAGTAATTAAAGACCATAAAGAACTATCGCAAGAACACGATCATAAAGTTTTAAGACTTCCTCCTTACCATTACGATCTGAAGCCAATCGAACTCATATAGAGTATTTTAAAAATGAGGACTGCAGTAAAAAAGATGAGTCAGGAAGCAAACAATTTCTAAATATAACCGAAGACGCATTTAGCAGTATCACACCAGTAGAATGAATAAGAGAATGCTCCCATGTGGAAACAATTGAAAACAACTATTTTAACGAGGGAGTTACTGTTGATAATGAAATTGATCGATTTATAACAGAAGTCCGAGATGACAGCGACACTTCAGACGATAGTCACACTGAAAATAGTGATACTATATCGGGAGTTGCTCCTCTCGAAGAACACAGTTATATGAGACCGTGGATCAGTTCGAGTATCTGGGCTCCGTAATCACAAAAAGGGCATCTGTGAGCCGGAGGTGCTAAGGTGAATCGGCATGGGAAAGACAGCAATGACACAACTGGGCAAAGTGTGGAGAGACAGGAACATCCGCAATAAAACAAAAATACGCCTAGTCCGCACACTTGTCTTCTCCATATTTCTGTATGGAGCCGAGACCTGGAATATTAAAGCGGCTGATAGACAGAGAATCAACGCGTTTGAGATGTGATGTTGGCGTCGTATGCTGAGAATACCACGGACAGCTCACCGCCCAAATGTCTCTATCTTACAACAGCTTAAACTAGAGAAAGCACAGCGTCTATCTTCAACCTGCCTGAAACGCATACTACAATACTTCGGCCACGTCGCTCGACGAGATACCGATAATCTGGAGCGCTTGATGGTTACGGGGAAATAGAGGGGAAAAGACCCAGGGGCCGGAGCCCGGAGCTGACGTTGGTCAGACCAGATCTCGGAGGTCAGTGCTGCACTCCACCAAGCAGTTGAGCGAAACCGATGGAGACAGATAGTTGGCAAGATGACACGGAGTCACGATCCTAAGCAGTGAGGCAACGATAGAGAAGAAGAGAAAACAGGAGTTTATTTTTATGAAAATGATAAAAAGAATTATAAATATAGGCATTTTTCTATAGACCTTGGTGAAAAATAAAACAAAAATCTAATCAAAACAATGAAATTTTGGAGTTCAATATTTTTAGGTAATTCAAACTTTTTCATTTGATTTCATTAAATTGCATCGTAAAATATTCATGGTCTCGCAATTAATTGTCTTTGAGGCAATCTATCTTCCTCAATATCAAAATATTGAGGAAGTATTCATTTTTTCATCACTAAATCAAAATATACCTACTTTGTAATATTTGCTGAATTCTATAAAATTATTTATCACATGCTCTCCTATTCTGTCTATACAACGAAAGTTATATTTAAGGTCTGATGTAAATGTTTATAGTCAAATCTTGATTCTAACATAGTCTGAAATTTTTGTGACATTATTTTAGTTTCTTTTTAATACTTCCTCAGTAGATATTAAAGATAATTATTAATATTTTTCTAAAATAACAGAAAAGTATTATTTGCAAAGCTGGCGCTTATCTAAAGTAATTTTTTTTTGACGGCAGGGATAGTGCGTAATGCATTTTCATTACGCACTATCCCTGTCGTCCTGTCAAGGCGGCAGGGGTATATGGGACGCCTTCAGTGGGACCCCCTCTGAAGGCGGAGGCCTACCTACTAAAAATCCTGGGCATGCCCTCAAGTGGAAGTTGTGCCCGGGACCCGGACGTATTCACTAGGCCGCCCGCTCCCTGTGTGAGAGGGGACCCCTCTGGTCCCTATCTCGCGGGTGGGCGAGACTTAGAGCATGTTAAGTCTCCCCCCAGTCAGGTGAGGCTGTGTAATGCGCAGAGGTTGTCAACCCCCGTGCTGGCCTTAGCAGAAGGGAGGGATGCGTTAATACGCGATTCTTCCCCCCCCCCTATCCCCCCTGTATAGAGAGGGTCCATCTATGCATCCCTCAGGCATATCTTTCGGGGCTCCCCTCATAGACCCTCTTACCCGCAACCTCGAGGTCGGTCGCTCCCCGGCAGTCCTGGCTCTGCTCGTCTCTAGTGTGAGCTGCACCATGCCTTCGGCAGCCCCGCAGTGATGACACCTTGAGGACTTCTCTCTTCGGATGCGGTGCAGGAATTTTCCAAACAAACGTGGTCGGTTAAACCTGCACCATCCGGAATGTGAGGAATCCGAAAAACCTCTTGTTCCACTCTTTGAGGAGTGGTCTGAACGCCTCGATGATGCGAGCACCCGATGTAGGGAGGCGAGATTTTGCTCCCAGGCCCCCATCAGTCCCTCTTCAATAATATTTTACCGGACCCGTAATCTTACACGAAAAAATAAAAGAAGTTGGATTTATGTATTTTTTTATTACTAATCTCTAGTAATATTGCTACTGTCTGTTACGCTAACACATGTAAATCAAATCCGCTTTCATTTTTTTTTCTTTTGTCACCGTTCCTCTTTTCCCCCAGCGTGTAAATATGCCCTCATTTCTACTCTTTCACTAATACTTCATTTTAATAAATTATTTATAAAAAAAATAAATATCAAGACTAGTCATTGGTAAAAACACTCTTTGAAATAAAAAAAAAATGTTTTTGAGAAGCTTCTTTTCACAAATTTGTTACACTATAAATATTATACAATATATCTGGCCTAAACTATTAATGGATTTTTTGACATTTCACAAAATAAATTATGTAGCGTGAGACCACCCTTACATAAATATTGTCTGTGCACATCCCTTAACTCATCATCATCATCATCATATCAGCCGAGAGACGCCCACTGCTGGGCATAGGCCTCCCCCAAAGATCTCCAACGTGATCGGTCCTGCTCCTCCCGCATCCTTTAACTAACCGGCGTTAACCCAAAGAGTAGTATTATATGCGTTAACCAGTATATATACCTACCAGTCGTCCATGCGCCCGCTATTTTAGTCAGTGCGAGCCGGAGCGCATTCGAGTGAACACGTATCGCATTGTTATAAACTTGTGTACCGAAAATTGTGTACACGGTATATTTATACAAATGAATAAAACTCTTGTGATTTTGTTTCGGTGTTTCAATAAGCCACCTACTACGTCCACCCCATTCAGCTCACGCCGAGCTAAAATTAATATTTTTCACAAATATTAACATAGACTTACACTTTAACTTGAGATTTGTCAACAGTTGGGATTTTATATTGCCATATGAAAAGTCGATATTTATTATTTTTATTTTGTGACATCAGGTTCTGGGTACTGCTACACATAAGTGTATAGTATATATCATAGACTTAGTACTTATAACAAGGACAGCGTACTCCCAGCTGAAAAGCGGGCCGAGCGAGACATCAAGTACAAAGGCTATTTGGCTTATTCAAATAGGGTGACAATACATGTTCGTCAAGTCAGACTTTTCATGATTCAGTTTTTAACTACCGCGGCTGTTATCGTAAACAATAACCTTGTAAAACTTTTTCATTTTATAATCCTATTAATATTGTGAAAGTTTCTTTGTTTGGATATTTGGATGTTTGTCGGTCAATCACGTTGAAACTTCTGAACGGATTTTGATGACATTTGGTATACAGATAGGGTATTAGCTGACTTAGATAATAGGATACTTTTTATCCCACTTTACATGTCCCTAGGGTCCACGCGGGCGAAACCGCTGGCGAAAGCTAGTCTAAATAAATAAAAATATATTGACAACTTGTTAAGTTAGCTAGTTTTAACAAATTTACCAATAAACCACATAGTTAGTTCCACGTCACCTCTTAGTATTATTGATCATCACCATCCGCCACTGGAATTTTCGATTTACATAGGAGATTATGCGAATAATTTACAAAACAATAACGATTGCATAAGGAAGAAATTTCATAAAGCTGATTACGACAAAATTTGTAAGTATTTCGACGAATTTGATTGGAGTAGTATTTTAAGTTCAAATAGGTCAGTAGACGAAATGACTAATGAATTTTACAAAATTTTAAATGACGCTATAAAGGCATATGTACCCAACTCACGAGCTAAGTTCAATAAAACTCCAATATGGTTCACAGCTGAGTTGAAACGGCTATTAAAAGAGAAATATAAATATCGCGCTCGCTTTATAAAATATAAAAACCCACTAGATAAATTGACATTTAAAACATTAAGAAAAAGATGCAGCATTTTAGCCACACAGTGCTATAAAAATTACATTTCGTTGAT